TAGAATATATATATATATATATACAAGGTTCCAATCCGAATAGAGTTAGAGTGTACAACAAAATACATCAAAGCTACTACACCCATAGCTAAAACAACAAAATGTCCAAAAAAAATCAGCTTCATCAGCCAGCTACAGACCTATCGCCAGCCACCAACCTATCCCTGCTCTGCTCCAATACAAAGTATGATCATTGCAGTCCAAACATCATGGAGACAACAAAGGGTAAGCTAGTGTAAAGAGATCAACATACATACATAAATATGTAAATAAAAGCATCTACAGCTATCAGCACACCCGCACAGCTTATACTACACCACAACAATTTAGCAATATCAGCACCGCTCAGCGGCTATAACAACATCACAATAGTGGCTAACAGCACCGACATAGCGGCTAAAACAGCACCACAATAGTGGCTATAACAGCACCGACATAGCGGCTAAGACAACACCACAATAGTGGCTATAGCACGGCATACAGCTCAGCAAAGAACAACACAACAAAATAGCTCATAGCACAGCACAGCAAATTGGCATACAGCACAACTAAGTAGTAATCAACACAGCCTACTACTCACAACACAGCTCAACATTCTAGAGCACAGCAATATTATAAATCAGCATTTTAAAATCATCAACAACAGCCCAGCTCAGCACGGCAATATACATCTATTTACAACATTAACATCTAGTCGGCATAGCGTGTTCATCAATTACAGCTCAGCTCAGCATAAAACAACATTTGTCAGCCAATTTCAGCATATAACTTCACATCCTCATGCGCGCCCAGCGCACCCATGGGCGCGCCCAGCGCAGCTCAACCAGAGAGCATCAGGGGCCATCGCGCCCAGCGCCAGACTGCTCGCGCTCGGCGTGACCCCCTCACGCGCCTAGCACAATTTAGAATTGCGCCCAGCGCTTGCCAGGCAAAGACTCAATGGAGTCTCACGCGCCCAGCGTGCCTAGGCCCGCGCCCAGCGCGGGGAAGGCAGAGACCTCCCCTTGGTCTCGCGCCCAAAATTTTGAATTTCGCCCAGCGCCCTCCTGGCAGAGACTCCCCTTGGAGTCTCGCGCTCAGAGCGACTAGGGTCGCACTTAGCGCAAAACCACCACCCAAATATGGCCTGTGCGCTCGGCGCGATACCTGTCCCGCCCGGCGTGGGCCAACCAGAGGCTCACCTTCTCAAGCTCGCCCGGCGCACACATCTTTGCGCCCGGCGAGCTTGTCAAAAAGTAGCCCCCAGATGGTCTCGCGCCCGACGCGATGAACTGCGCTCAGCGCGAGGCTCAGCATCAACCCACCAAGTTTGAAAATTTGCTTCAATCCTGCCAAAAATCCACTTTCCAGCACATGCAATCCATTCAAAGTAACACATTTTCAACCCACAGCTCAAAAACACCTCCTTTTTACACATGCAACCACCAAATCAAATAAAACCCCAAAATTATCACAAAACCCCAAAGAACCCCAAAAAAACGAATTTCATCACACACAACCACAAATTATTAAGCAATCAGCCATAAGATGAGTTCGTGAACTCGATTTCAACAAATCACAACCAAAACTAACTTCCCTCAGGCAAAGATTTCCGAGCTTCCGGGAACTTGAAGACAACACCACAATAGTGGCTATAGCACGGCATACAGCTCAGCAAAGAACAACACAACAAAATAGCTCATAGCACAGCACAGCAAATTGGCATACAGCACAACTAAGTAGTAATCAACACAGCCTACTACTCACAACACAGCTCAACATTCTAGAGCACAGCAATATTATAAATCAGCATTTTAAAATCATCAACAACAGCCCAGCTCAGCACGGCAATATACATCTATTTACAACATTAACATCTAGTCGGCATAGCGTGTTCATCAATTACAGCTCAGCTCAGCATAAAACAACATTTGTCAGCCAATTTCAGCATATAACTTCACATCCTCATGCGCGCCCAGCGCACCCATGGGCGCGCCCAGCGCAGCTCAACCAGAGAGCATCAGGGGCCATCGCGCCCAGCGCCAGACTGCTCGCGCTCGGCGTGACCCCCTCACGCGCCTAGCACAATTTAGAATTGCGCCCAGCGCTTGCCAGGCAAAGACTCAATGGAGTCTCACGCGCCCAGCGTGCCTAGGCCCGCGCCCAGCGCGGGGAAGGCAGAGACCTCCCCTTGGTCTCGCGCCCAAAATTTTGAATTTCGCCCAGCGCCCTCCTGGCAGAGACTCCCCTTGGAGTCTCGCGCTCAGAGCGACTAGGGTCGCACTTAGCGCAAAACCACCACCCAAATATGGCCTGTGCGCTCGGCGCGATACCTGTCCCGCCCGGCGTGGGCCAACCAGAGGCTCACCTTCTCAAGCTCGCCCGGCGCACACATCTTTGCGCCCGGCGAGCTTGTCAAAAAGTAGCCCCCAGATGGTCTCGCGCCCGACGCGATGAACTGCGCTCAGCGCGAGGCTCAGCATCAACCCACCAAGTTTGAAAATTTGCTTCAATCCTGCCAAAAATCCACTTTCCAGCACATGCAATCCATTCAAAGTAACACATTTTCAACCCACAGCTCAAAAACACCTCCTTTTTACACATGCAACCACCAAATCAAATAAAACCCCAAAATTATCACAAAACCCCAAAGAACCCCAAAAAAACGAATTTCATCACACACAACCACAAATTATTAAGCAATCAGCCATAAGATGAGTTCGTGAACTCGATTTCAACAAATCACAACCAAAACTAACTTCCCTCAGGCAAAGATTTCCGAGCTTCCGGGAACTTGAACGGAGAAGAAGAAGAGTGAAAAAGAGCTTGAACGGAGAGGAAGAACAAGCTTGCGAAATCAGCTCTCGGACAAGGAATCAGCTCTCACACCACTTGCACCTACGGTCACCAAGATTCACCACAAGGAAATTTGAGAGAAAATGAGTGAGGGTTTAGAGGGAAAGAAAGTCTTGTGTGAGGAAGAGTGAATGAGGCTGAAAATGAGTAAGGGTGAAAATGGGAAAATAAAAATAGGGTCCTCACAAACATCAATAATTTTTTATAAAAATATTAATAATAAATATTGATAATCTTATAAAAACATAAAATATCTCAATTTCATTAATTGATAATTATAACATCTCGTCACAACTCTAGTCATAACTTTTTTTTGTTAATCTACATTATTACTAAATAGTAATAGAGATTATATTTAACATTTATAAAAATTAAAATCAACAAAAATCAAAAGATTAAAATAATATTTATAAGAACTAAATACATATATGTTTTAGTCATTTTAATATGTTTGATGACTAAATTTATTCATTAACAAGTATAATTAATTAAAAAAAAAGTTGTGGGGACGTTACAAATGCTCATAATTTTATTGTGCTTAGAGTATAAAAAAAATATAAATATTCTACCAACAAGGCAATAACAAAACAGAAGGCTGAAAATGAAAGCAAAGTTCCGCCATCTAATTCTAAGCTTTCATTAGAGATAATGGCTTTTCAATAAATTTTAATTTTTTAAAAAATATATTAAACTAGTTTTAGGAATAATGGTTTTGCAAGAAATTATTAAAAAATAAGATAATTATTTTTTAAAATATATTAAACTAGACGATGATGATTTGTTTCATCTTTTCATCGAAGGAATATAGAGATATTTTAAAAAAAAATGTCCTTTTGCATGGTTTTGTTTCCTTTTTTCCTTCCTTATTACGTAATTTTCTTCCAATTTTGCCCTCACCGACAACTACGTCACACCCTCACGCATCGCGAAATTACCAAACTACCCCTTCTTTAATTCTTCAACAACCGTCTGTTTCTCACCGACTCCCGACCAAACCTGATTCAAGATTTCAAGGGACAAATAGGCCATTCTGATGTTATTTATTACACTTTAATTTTTAGGAATTCATTTTATTTTGAAAGTGTTAAACTAAAAATTTATTTGATACTAAAATGAGATAATCAAATTATTATGTTGTTAAGATTTACTGTAGTATAAATTAAAACAATTGATAACAATCATAAATATTTATATAATTTTATTTTATTAGAGTGTATATATATATCATAAATTAATCAGAAATTATTTTATGCATAAATTTAATTACCATGAAACTCAAAACACTCACCATTCATTGAATACGCAATTAAATCATAATATATAAAAAATCTTTGAATACATTTTAATAAATTCATGTTTGTATGGATTTAATTTTCATAAATTATCATTTTAAAGAATTTTAAACATAATTAATTAAACATCTTATCTTACCAAAAATTTATAGTACTTTATCCAAGTTTTTTAAATAAGATTTTGAATTAAGTCGCGCAGATGAAAAAAAATATTGAGAGAAGACATTCCAATAAAATTAAAAATACTATATATTAATTATATATAATTATCAAAAAAATAAAATTATTTTAAATATAATTTTTAAAATAATTATTATAAAGGCCAATCATTTGATTATATAAAATAAATTACCATAAATAATGATGTAAAAGAAATATTTCAACTATTTATATATTTATAAAAAGATGTTTACACATATTCTAATTTAGCCTAAAAATAGAGGAAGGAGTTGATGTAGAAAAGACTTGTATTTAATCTTTATTTTCACCATCTTTATAATTTTTTTTATAAATAAAAATATGATGATTGAATTTATACATCAATTCATTCATATTACAATTTACATTTTAATTATATTACATAATGTGATTACATGGATACACAAGCAACTCAGGCCTTTTGTCCAAATTAAATTAAAGAGAAAAGAGATTACGGAGGGAAAGTATAAGATATTTTATATGTTAATTTTTTTACTTTTATAATAATGATCTTAAAAATTATATAAAAGATTATACCGAGAATAATTAATGATTTAGTTGTGGAAGCGAAAGAAAATCTGAAAATGATATGGGTTTGGTAAGTAATCTGTGTGTTAGCAGGTAAAATAGCTATGTTGAAATAATAGTGAATTGGTGCCACGTCCTTTTCTTTTTTCTATTTTATTATTTTGTATACAATTTATTGCCGCTTAACTTGCACACTCAGGAATCCAGCTTGCTTTTATAGTTGCAATTGCAAAGAGAAGTGACGACACAACACAAGTCTTCTCATTCTCATTCTCATTCTCAGTAACAACCATGGCTTCAAAGTTGTTACTCATTACTGTCTTCGTTTTTGACTTGATTGCTTTTGGACTCGCTGTCGCTGCTGAGCAGAGAAGAAGCACTGTGAGTATTCACCTTCTTCTTCCTTTCCCTCTAAATCCAAAGCTACAATCTGGGTTTCACAGGAATGTGCCCAAAGATTGGATCTTTAGTCTTTTAAATTTCTTTCTACGAATTAAAGTTTGGAATTTGATGTTGGGTTTATGAAATGTTAGCATAAATGGTTTAAAAAAGTGAACTTTTTTTTTTTTTTTTTAATTTTTTTATTGAGTTCCCGGGTTGTTTTGATGTGGGCATACCCAGATCTGTTTGCTGCTGAAAATGTGTGCTTTCTATTAACTTGTTGTGAATGTGATATGAAATTATGAATAAACTTTTATTGTTTTGTCCTTGGGTGAAGAAGTTCTTCATTGATGTAATAGGTTTGTGGTTTCTTTGGCTGTGTTTGCAAATAGTACTCCAGATCTGTGTTCACACGTTACTGTCCTTTTTGTATACAAGAAGAAATGTTTTATGTGAAGTGAAACCTCAGATCTCATCTTTTTCTCTTTCTTTTTAACCTGAACATATATCATATTTTGGCAAATAGTTCATCTGAATTCTGTCATTGAAGTTCAACAAGGAATTCATTTCAATCTGTTTTCTTCATATGTGCCACCTTAGCTTCAGATTTGTACTTGCGTATTGCTTTGCTTGATTATGAATTTATGACTACTAAGGTAACAGGTGTTTTACTAATGGATAGTGACAAATGCTTATAGAACCAAGCAATCAAGTTTCTTTTTAATTCCCGGTTGGTGTAACTCATGATTCAAGTGAAATCTTTTTATAGTATATATGAAACAATAGACTCATCTAGTTCAAAATTTTTCAGCAAGTGTTTGTGAAAATGCAATGGCAATCCCATTATTAGAGTTAGGAGATGTATAATCATAATTCTTCAGGTTGAAGAAATAAAGTGGTAATTTGTAAGTTGGTGTACATTTATGGCATTGAGGTTTGAACTTTGAACCTATAATCTTGTAAATTAAGTGACTTATTAGTGACCTTTTTATATATAGGATGCAATCAATTTTGAGTTTTTACCTTTGGAAAATGCTAACCAGTGGCAATGGTTAAGGAATCAAAAGTAGAAAGTTTTTTATTGAGAAGTGCTTCTATACATTCTTCCATGTAACTTAATTGTAGTTTTCAGGGGAAATTTTCTACATATTGATTCCTTAACCAATGTCAAAAGGGAATTGGTTAGCAAGACCCTGTACCTTTTACCTCCTACTCAATTAATATTTATCTGTTTTCATTGACAGGCTAGAATAGTGCAGGACAGGGACCAGAATTATAATTACTGTGTCTATAACTCTGACATAGCAACTGGCTATGGTGTTGGAGCATTTTTGTTCCTCTTGGTTAGTCAAGTCCTAATAATGGTGGCGAGTCGATGCTTCTGTTGTGGGAAGCCTCTAAGCCCTGGAGGCTCAAGGGCATGTGCAGTTGTCCTTTTCATAATCTGCTGGTATATTTGTCATTCTTCACTAAATTAGCAATAGTGAATAAGATATATCAAGTCTTAATTAAGGGTGTGTTGGGATAAACTTTTCCATAAGCACTTATAAGAGAGAAAAATAAGGAAAAACAAAATAAGTTTTTCCATGAACTACAATTAACTTGTACATGAGCTAATTTGTAAAATTCCTCTCTTGTTAGCTTGTCCAAATCTTATTTTAAACTTATAAATAAACTAGTTTTAGCTTATAGAAATACTTTTGGATTTTCTTTCCTATTTTATTTCTTAAAAAGTGCTTCTGGACAAGTTTATTCCAACAGACTTTAAATGTAGAATGTGTAGGCATTTTTTATATCCTGCAAAGCTGATTAACCTCATTTGATTTCCACACATGATACATCATGATAACTGAATATTTATTGCTTTTTATTTTTGTATTTAACATTTTAACTGAGAAAATTTGTTTTGCAACTCTCTTCCAGGGTGTTTTTCCTCATAGCTGAGGTGTGTTTGTTGGCTGGATCAGTGGAAAATGCCTATCACACCAAGTACAGGACCCTCTTTATGGAAAATCCCCCTTCTTGTGAAACAGTTAGGAAGGGAGTCTTTGCTGCTGGTGCTGCTTTTGTGTTCTTCACTGCCATAGTTTCTGAATTCTACTACATCAACTACTCAAGTGCCAGGGAAAGCTTCCAACCTTACAGCGGCGGTGAGACCGGCGTAGGTATGGGAACCTACAAATGAGCTTGTTAGTTAAGAATTCTACAGCCAACATTTAGGTGTGACTATATTGGAGTCTGGATTCTGCAGCACATTTTATGAATTTTGTTGCACTTATTGTATTTACAGTTTAGCTGCTTTACTAGAATATATATATATATATGTTGTATCTTAGTAATTTTTTTGTTGTTACCTATTGTCGTATGTTATGGGTGACCCATTCATTGCCTCTTTTACAGTTTTTGGAGTTCTTTGTTATGTATACATATCAACAAGAGAAATAATTTCTTGCATTCACTGAGCACTTGATTTATTGTTTCTGCATATATTTTAGTCCCTTCATTCAAATGTTAGTAACTATAAAAGAATGTTAGTAGGGTCTATTTCCTTAATGTTGTTGGTAGTTTATGATGATGATTATGATTTCTCACATTTGATGCTTCAAAGGATGGAGATAGCCCGCCTTATCCATTTACATTCACCTCAGAACATTAGGCAGTTACTATTTTTAGTTTATAACAAATGCCATTATTGCCACATTTTGAAATTAACATATAACATACTAATCTTAGAGAATTTCTACGGTACCCTCTGTAAAAGAAGGGTACCGGTACTGTCGATGACGTGTCGATGATGTGTGATCCAAATCACTTATAATTTTATAATTATTTATAATTCAATATCCACGTCAATTATAATGAAATTCACGTTTTTTAATATTTTTCGGAGTGTTTGCTTCGTGTTTCTTCCTCTCTTTTTTTCGAAATGTTTGCTTCGTGTTTCTTCCTCTCAGCGGTAATGGTCCCCAATAGGGTTATCACAGGGCTTGGGAGGGGAACCAGTGAGGAGCAAGATGCGGGGTTTACCTCTCACGAAATTAGGGTATTCGGGATTTTGGAGGAGCCAAGCCTTGCGTTCTTCGTCCCAATTGCGGATCTTGGAGCCCAGGCTGTAGGTCACGTTAGGGTTTAAGGGGGCTTGCTCGTCGGGGTCGTTGGGGTCGGTGTCGGAGCGGATCTCGGCCAGGATGCGGTTGGTCTCTTCCACGAGATTCTGGTTGACGGCGTCGGCGTCGGAGGAGCCGAGGTTGACGCCGATGGTGCCGCGGAGGACGAGGATGTCGTCAGAGACAAAGGTAACCTTGGAGGAGTCATGGTCGACGGTGGAGAGGAGGGAATAGTGGAGGGCGGAGGAGGAGGGGAGGGAGGAGTGGTAAATGGCTGTGGCGAGGGAGTTCAAGAAGTAGGGAGAGGGGTTGAGGCGGAGGGGAGGGGAGGGGAGTGGGAGACGGAGGGGCAAGGGAGAGGTGGGAGACGGAGGGAGGGGAGAGGAGATCGTATAATTATAAAAATATTAATAAAAACTTAAAAATAAATAATGTAAAAATTTAAATATAAAATAATTTTTATTTAAAAGGTTGACATGGCATTTGACATGGTATTTAGATGATGTGTACATATATACATTAGCTACAGTACCAAAATTCCTCATTTATCAGGGGTACAGTAGCAACTCCCCTAATCTTAAGGGTACACAGGAAGTTTCTAGTTTTTGGAGAATTTCAAGTTGAAAATGTTAGCTTTTTTTTTTTTTGTTTATTTTATTATTTCAAGTTTCCGCAAAATTTTAACGATAAGGTGAGAATTTCTTAGTTTAAAGAAAATTTTTACTGCAGTAAAATTATTTTATTCATTAATTTATTGCGGTAAGTTTTTTATATTTCTAAGTAAATCTATAAATGTTCTTAATAACATTAATGGTTAACTAAATATATTTAAGTTATTTTGAGAAATTTTTCTGATATTTGATTCCGGACATGAAAGTGTTTTAGACGCACCTTCTATATAGTTGCACCAAATTGTAATTACATTGTTGCAGGAATATATCTTAAATTTTTGTTTTATTCCCAAAAGTGTTGCGGTAGAAGTAAGATCAACGCAAATTTAAAATCTGAGCTATAACTTGTCTCAATTGATTGATAGAATTCTCAAAAAGGACTTCATAATCTTGACAACCAAAGTCTACAATTTGAGTAAATGTTTCTAAATACAAATAAAAGTATAAAACTATTACAAGTTGCAAGTTTGTATTAATATTTATGATTTAGTTTTCATTTTCAAAAGGTAGTCAAAGGAGTCGTGAACAATAGCATAATGCACGAAAATTCGAAATGCTTTCCACCTAAACTTTTTATGTTGAATAAAGACCATAGATGTATTTTTGCTAGGGTTGTCAAGGATCATGATATATACAACTTTTTTTTATAAGTACATCCCATTTTTTTAAAAAAAGAAATAATTAAATTCTTAAAATATTCATTATTTTTAATTTTTTAGTTTTACACTCCTAACATTTAATTTAACACTTTTTTTTACATATCTCTTTCCTTTATTTTCATATTCACTTCCTTAATTTTTCTTCACCCCACCTATTTTGATAGGTAATTTTAATTTTTTTAGTTTTACATTATTCTTTTTTCCTTTCTTCTTTCAATTTTTCACTGATTTTACAATTCGCACAGTACTCTAGAATAGTGAAAATGTTTTTTTTCATAACACTAAACTTAATGTTAAGGTTTTTGGAGGGGTGAAAGGAAAGGAAGTGTTGGAAGAAAAAATATGTCTAATTTGATAAAAAAATTGTCGAAGAAGCTACATATACCTACAATGTTGTCGCCTACCAGTTCTATGATTTTGGTGCATGTGAAAAAGTGAAAGAGGTGAGAAAATAAAAGAGTAATATAAAATCGAGAGAATCAAAACTATCCATTGAAATAAAAATCGAGAGAACCAAAACTATCCATTGAAATAAGTGAGGAGCTAGAGGAAAACAAGATGGTGCATGTGAAAACTGAAAAAGAGAAGGAACGAGGTGTGTGAAAAGAAAAAATAGTAAATTAAAAATTAGAAATGTAAAATTAAAAATTTTAAAAATTAAAAAAAAAATTATGAATATTTTAGGATTTTTTTAAAAATTAAATAAAAGAGATATACTTATAAAAAAAAAAAAGAAAAAAGAAAAAAGGAGGTGTATATATCATTAGCCGTTGTCAATTAAAGTTAACCTGGGCATTTGGGTTTGGCCCATGCAGGCCAATACATATTTGGGCCAGGATGGAATAAGATAATTCACGGGAAATTATAGATGCACCTCCTTTTATTAATAAAATATACACCTCTTTTTTTTTTCTTTTTTTTTTTAAATTCTCCAAATTACTTTCAGATTTATCTTCCATTTTTTTAATTTTTATTTAATTTTATGGAAATGCATTTTCCGGTCATCCTTCTTCATTCTCTTTTCTTCCATTGCCATATAAACATTTTCAAAAATATTTTCTAAAACTACTTTTCGAAATGAATGTCTCATTCTAGAAAATATTTTTCAAAATAAACATATATTATTCCATAAAATACTTTCCAAAATGAACCTATCATTAAAGAAAGTACATTCAAAACCAAACATGACTATTTTGTTGGGAAAGTAAAAGAAAATAAAATTAACCTTGTATTTTTAAATCCAAAAACATGTGTATTTTTCTATTATGTTTTGTACTACTCTTTCTTTAGATCTTTTGGGCTATTTCTTTTCCTTCCTGATTTGTTTGGACTAACTTTGTAGCCTTTTGTTTGATTGCAACCGTGACTTTACTTTTGACCTCTGAATTTTATTCAAAGGATTTGTCTATTTTCTCATATAGATTAGTTAGCATTGGTTCAAAGGATCTTGCACCAGAATTAATACAAGTTTGTTAACCATCATATTTTAGAGAAAATAATTGTTATATTGTATACTAAGTAAACTAACTTCACGCATAGGCCCATGGATAGGCCCAGCTAATTCCTAACAATAATCTTTTTTTGGGTCAACAACACTTGCTGGACCTGGACAGGCCTTGTCCAGAGTTTACGTTATCAAACAAAAATGCACATTTCAATATAAATTTTAAAAATACACATATATTCCAAATATTTAATGGTCCAAAATTAATCTTATCTTAATCAATTTCACTCGACTTTAAAACATACAAGCCCTTTTCTATGTAACACAAAACCAAGGATAAATTCGTCTTAATAATAACATTCTCTTCCTATTTGAAATATTTATATTTAATTTCTATATCCTTTTATTTATTTATTATCGATTCGTACGATAATAGAATGCAAGAATTTTCTTCGCAGTAGGGTCTTCTCCTGTTTGAATTTTCCTTGGATAAAAAAGTTGGTCTTATAAGAAAAAAAAAAAAAACAGAATTCGAAAGAAGAAAGTGACCATAATAAAAATATAGACGAAACAAGAATAAAGTGATATTATTTTAAAAATATAGTATTTTTGGACAGAATTTTCAAACGAAAACGAAAAAGTTTGTTACGCTGCGTGAGACAAATGCCACCGACAAAGAAATTAGGTTTCCTGTGAACAAGACCGAAGAAGGGAAAAGGTTTTAGATGTGTATCGACATAGGAAATATATTGCCAAACTAAAGTTTTCTTTTTTGCTCTTAATAATATATTTCAAGAAAATGAAATATTTGACTTGGTATCATTGAGATGAAAATGAAATCTAATGTCACATGATTTTTGCCAATGTTTTTCTTTAAGGAAAAAATGGTATTAGACTTGAAAAGACAACAAAAAAAAGATGTTTGACATTTAAGTTGAAGTGTCACTTTCTTTGCTAAAGTATAACACCGTTGATATTAAGTTAAATGGAATTTATCAATTTGATTTTTTCTTTTACTAACAACTGCATGATTTATAATTAAACTTTAAATTTAAGTGTCTTTAATATATTTTTATTTATCTACCCTTAAAATTAAAAAAATCTCATCTTTACTTTTTTTAATATATTTTTATTATAACAAAAGAATTCACATTATATCTTCTCGAATGAAAAATAATATAACAAATAAAAAATAAAAAGCTTTATAAATAAAAAAGAAAATAAAAAAAAATTTACTTTTTGCAAGTTAGATGCTTAAAAAATAAAAATTTGTATATTAAACAAAATTATTTTATAATACTTTTTCATGTGATTTTTAATGCAACTTTAACATATTTTTCAATAAAAATTATCTTTTAATTCTTTAATCATTACCCTTTTATTTTTTATCCAAAAAAATTACACTAAAAACAACCAGATTTAAACTTAATATTTATACACATTACCCCAATTTCTATAACTAGATCCATCATAATAGTTTAATTAATACTCTAAAGAAATTTAATATGACTCATGACATGTTATTAAATAAAAAAAAAGAAAAATACTATATGCTTTAAAAATATGAAACGTATATGATATTTA